TAATATTTGCTAATTTTATATGTGACTTAGTTTTTTTAATTTCAGCAAATGTTACGTAGAGAGGCTCAGTGAATGTAGTAAAATTCAGACTGCTACTAGAGGGAAAGTCTGCAAATCTATAAATTAAAAGTATTGTTTCATATGAGTGACAGCTAAACTACCACAATAAATGAATATTGCTTTTTATCTTTTGTAAGGAAATAGTCATGTTTTGGAATGTTGTGACGAAGAGAAAGTCACATTGCTCCCAAAAGGGAAGCTAATGTCTCTTCTTTTTCTTTTCCAGTTGACCGACCTGTCAGGGTGTATGCAGATGGAATATTTGATCTCTTCCACTCAGGCCATGCAAGAGCCCTTATGCAAGCGAAAAACCTGTTTCCAAACTGTTACCTGCTAGTAGGAGGTAATCTACACACTGACATACTGTATATAATACATGTTATTTAGTTAAAGCTATTTGTATTGGTATTACTTCTGCTGTTCCCACATTGTTTTGCAATTATGCACATTATATCCTGACCTGTGGCAATGCTGCAATGTCCCCTCCATCTTTATTACTAAGCCTGACCACTTACTGTTGAGCCCTTGTGCAGACAATAGTTTTACTTAAGACCATTGCTACAGCTGGTAGGCAGGGAACCTTTACCACCCAATGTAACACCCTTTTGCTGATGCCATCTCTTTAAAACAAAACATTTTATTGTTTAGCTGGTGCTGGTTCACCTGTCTTAGAATATTGGACAATATGTAATTAACCCTATATAAAATTACTGTATGTTTACAGAGAATGGAAAAATGTGTGACTGATAAGTACACAGGAATAAGCCCCCTCTTTACATCTGATGCACTGGAGGCATAGGGTGGTAGATTAGGTCCTGCTTTTACTAGCTTGACTCTGTGGTCTTGCTGCATTGTATTTACATCCTTCATATGACAAGATCGTTACATTTCATATTTTATCATTCAGAGTAGCTTTTCTGTAAAGCAGGAGGAAGGTTGTACCAAGATTCCACCTCCACCAGGTTTTATTTCTTCAACATATACTGTTTCTCCGACAGGTTACTGGCAAACCCCATTTTATTCAGTCAAAAAAGTGTAATAAATTGTGGCTATTTAAATTTATTTAGACATATGTTAATATATTCACATGGCACTACACAGATTATGTGTGCATATACAAATGCAAAATATCTTCTCAGATCATACCCAATACCAGGTCAGTCAAGCAGCCATGGGCAGACATATTAGTCAGGAGCAAGGCACAGCAATCCAGAATGGAACACTATAGGAACACAAGATCTTGACCTAGATGTGAATCTGTTCTGTAGGCATATTTGTGCTCGTCAGGCACTGTAAACAATTTATCTGTGGTTGATGACACCAACAAGAGTGTCAACCCTACCTAGACCTTCTTATCTTACGGATGGGGGATTTGGGATCTAGAGCAAAATTGATGCCTTTGTGTACTTGCCAGCCATTTAAGTAGGAGGTTTAGTATTATTATTTTTAATATTATTATTATTGGTATTATTATTATGTCAGTGGCTCTTTGTGTGTATAGCTATATTTGTATTTATGCAAGACTGGTTTAGTTTCAGATTTAGTAGTCCTTTAAAATATGCTGGGAAATGATTGCAGAATTTGTTTTCTAATGGTTTCTGTCAGTTTGCAGTGATGAGCTAACTCACAAGTACAAAGGTTTCACGGTAATGACTGAGAGCGAGCGCTATGAGGCGCTCCGTCACTGTCGCTATGTGGATGAAGTGATCACTGATGCCCCATGGACACTTACTCCAGAGTTTTTAGAGAAGCATAAGGTAATGTTATTTATTTTAATACATTTTTATCTCAATATTAGGTATTCCTAATCATCAAGGTCAGTTTTTCTAATTACCCTCTTGCCACCCCTTTAGGAACAATGGAGGGAATTTATGATGGGCCTAAGTACCGATCCAGTGCAAACCTGACTCATAAAGAAGTTTGCAGTATTTACCTTTGATTTTGAAACCACTGTATCTGTGTGTTTGAAAACCTGTCTGGGATTTTTTTTCCAAAATGTCCATTATATTTATAAATGTATTTGCAGAATACTTTACCTGCACATGTTTTACACCCGTCAAAGTGCAAGTTTAAAATGAGCACATATACATTTAAAAAGAAGGCAAGAACTCTAAATGTGTCTTTAAAAAAGAAATGCTTTGTATATAACTTGATTTGGATAAAGAAAATTGGGTTTTGACTTTTGGTGGTCCCAGAAACAAACATTCCCCTAGCAACATTTTGGGGTAAAGTCAGTAGGCGCAAAATAGGTAGTATTTTCTTTAGCATTTTTTGCTGATATTTACAGTTACAAATTATGTTTTCAATTCACTTACATTTTTAATTCTTCCAATTAGTTGAGTTGACCACTTACCGCATGTTATGGTGCGGATTCTTACTTAGAGGTACTTGCATGTAAAACCCAGTTCCCAGAAAATATTGCTGTGATTTCTGTTTCATGTAATATTGCTAACTCCAGATAGTGTGAGTTTCCATGAGTTGTCTGTTAATGAGAGAAAGAAGAAAAACTATATTTGCTGTAAATTAAATTATGATAATTAGAATTCTGTTATAACTAATGAGAAACATTAATAAACCATGAGACATACTGGCTTGCGGTTGTTATGAATTTCATTTAAAAAAACGAAAACATTGAAGTGACTCTGCCAATAAAATACAACTGCTATTAAAAGTTCCCCCCCCTGAAAGGAAGATAGTAAATACACACCTCTCCAGTAGCATGTCCTGCTGAATGCTGTGCTGTCTTATTACTGTCCCTCCTGGCCAAGCTCCTTTGCCCCTCTCTTCACCTCCCTACATAACCTTTTATGTATCAGCCCAGGGAAGGGGCAAAGGGTAATACTATATAAAGCAGGGATCAGCAACCATTTTGACATTAAGCATCAAATACATGCATTGGACAATAGTGTGCTGTAGTTTAAATAGTTTGGTCAGTTGTTTTTTTTAGCACTCACTTTTTTACTGATAATAGCAAATTAAACTCATTAATTATTAAATTAGCCCCAATTAATGTACCTTCAGAACTCAGATCAGCTCCAACTCATCTACATTCAGATTTTAGAACCGCCCCAATTCATGCACCTTCAGATGTCATTTCAGCCCATATTCATGCAGGTTTGAACCTCAAATAAGCCCCAATTTATGCATCCTCAAACCAGCCCCAATTGCTGTTTTATCAGAGCTCAGATTAGTCCCAATTCATTAACCTTCAGGTCTTAGAAGAACTCCAATTCTTGCACCTTCGGACCTCAGATCCACCCTTATTTATGCAGTTTTGGACCTCAGATCAGACTCAATTTATGCATTCTCAGGCCAACCCCAATTCCTGTCTACTCAGAGCCCAGATCAGACACAATTAATTTACCTTTTGATCTTGGATAAGCCTCAATTCCTTCAGAATTCAATTCAGCCCCAATTCAATGCCCTTCAGACTTCAGATCAGCTTCAATTCCTGCTCTTTCACACCTCAGATCAACCCCAATTCATGAACCTTCAGGTCTCAAATCATCCCCAATGCATGTACCTTCGTACCCCAAATCAGCCCAAATTCAAGCACCTTTACACTGAGATCAGCCTCAATTCATGCACCTTCACATCTAACACGCAGTTAAACCCTCTGTCAGGTTTTTATTGTCTGTCTGTGTCCCCATTGGGGAGATTGTACCGGTGACCATTGTCTTCGAGGAAAAAGTAAGGGGAAATCTTTAAATGTTAGTGTTGTTCCCAGAATTAAACGTGATGGTGAATTATCCAATTGGGAACTGAAGGGAAATTACCCTAATGATACAGAGACAGCAAAAAATAACCTGTCGGGGGTTTTAACCCTTCCCTACACTCCCGAAAACAATACTTTAAAGTTTATGTCCAGCCAAAACATTTTCATTTTGTTTTCCTTAGTTTTGGGTGGAGTAGGGATGGGTTAGAACCCCCATCAAGTTTGATCTGCTATCTGGGCCTCCATTAGAGTGATTTAGCCTCATTTTCTGTCCTGCTGACTAGAGATATAGAGCCTGGGCCTGGTGCAAACCCAGCTTGTCTAAGTTGCCCAACTCCTCTCAAAACTCTGACCACGACTCCCCTCCTCCCAGCCCAATTAGTTGTGGCAGTTTAGGAGGGGGGCATTCCCCACCTCTTTTATGATGTATAGCTGTGGAGTGGGGGATGCACCTCTCTACAAATGATGGAGCAGGGAAGGTGTGTGCAGTCAGTTTTGAGCGGGTTTGGGCTGACACAGTTTTACCAAAAGGAAGTAGTGTCAATCTTTCCACAGCAACACAGACGGAAAAGAATAGTAGAATAAGGGAAGACTAGAGTGGGAAGTGTCCCTGTTACAGATTTTTTCATCACTTCACTTGGTTAAAGATTGTGGGAATCTTGTGTGAAAACATTTATAAAAAGACCCGTTTAGTTTGTTTCCAATTAAGTAGTTTCAAGCTTAAAGAAGAACTATGGGGTAAGTGTTTTTCCCCATAGTTCTCCTAAGGGTCACGGGAGGACATATACTAGCATCCTCCCGTGACTCAAAGCTCAGTATATCGCAAGCTACAGCTCGCGGTATACTGAGACCGCCGCAGCCGGGGCGGATCCCGGCATTACTGTCGAGATCCACCCAGCTGCGCGAGTGACAGCTGACTCTGCCTATCTAGAGGCAAAGCCAGCTGTACCCGCCCCCTCCCCCGTCCGTTCCGCTAGTCAGCGCTGGAGGATCATAGAGAGGAGGGGGGAATCCCTGCGGGGAGCCGTGACTGCCAGTCTCCACTCTCTGCAGAAAGATGATCGAGAAGTAAGCGATCGACGGTATGTGTTTGTTCACTTCCCGATCTATTGAGACGACGTGTGACAGTTTCATTGTCGCATATCGGCTCCAACTATGAGGTTGAGTGAAAATCACTCGGCTCATAGTTCTCCTTTAATAACGACCCTTCTCCCTTTACAAGATTCAAGGTGTACAAGGAGTCCAACTTTCAAAACTGTTTTTATGCCTATGTGTCCTATGTTTTAGATTTTTGGCACCATACGCTGATAGTTTCTATGATATTCTGTGATATATTTATCTTAAACGAAAAGGATTCGGATTATTGTAATTGTTAACAGGACACAATGCAGCAATTTAATTTCCAATACAAAAGTTTGGTTTTATTTGAGCTGTTGCTTTTTGGAAAAATACAGTTAGATTGTAATGGGTGCTTTTAAACAATTTTGAGGTACCAGTAATACTTTAATTTCCTTTTAAATGCAGCAAAATGCTTTTTTAAGTGTTAAACGTATCACATGATATACTATTCTTTTGTTTCTGAAATTATGTAGATTCTGATTAAAGTGAAACAATTCCTATTATGTTGAGCACGATTAGTTAAAGCTTGGAGACTTTAAAACATTGTAATCAAAAGTTTGGAGAACATTGTTACAAAAGATCATTGGTTCATTTCTGGCATGGTGACATAAGACCACAGCCAAGTCCTGCAAAAAGTGACTGAGCTGATTGGTGGCAGTCACTGTTTGGCCAACAATTTTCTGCCTGACTCCTGGCTGAAAATTTGAATTGAGTGGTGCCAAAAGCTTCACCAAACTAAAATTTCAGCCAATTCAGCAGAAATTATTTGCGATTCGAGCCGTGCAATGTGATATTGCATGTCTGGTGCAAGATATTTCTAGTGTGTTGCAGTAGGGCAGCTCATTCAATTCACAACTGAATCACACTAAAAAGTGCATGACCCTTTTACCTTTGTTACCATGAGTTGTGTTGTGATGCTATGTACATGCAATGGCTAGGTGCCTTGAAGTGGCATTAAGAAACAATGGCTCCTAACAGTGTGGCATGCAATCCCGTCATGAGAAGGTCTGAAGGAGATCTTAGACATATTTTGCTTTTGCTTTATTTTAGAGTGTATGGTTTGCAGCAACAATTATTTGCATCAATAGATAACTTCAGCTGTGGCTATATGCAATGTTGATAAATGAAAGTGTTAGACTAACAATTTAAAGGAGAACTATGAGATGAGTGCTTTTCACTAATCCTCATAGTTCTAGCCGACCTGTGATAATGAGACTGTCACAGGTCGGCTCAGTAGATCGGGAAGTGAGCGAACACATATCGGCGTTCGCTCACTTCTCAATCCTGTCATGGCACAGAGCCGTGACAGGGGAGGGGCTGGATTCCCCACTCCAATCCGCCAGCGCTGACTGGCGGAACAGACGGGGAGGGGGCGGGTACAGCTGGCTCTGCCTCTAGACATAATTGTCGGGATCCGTTTCAGCAGCAGCGCCTCAGTATACCGCAAGCTGTAGCTCGCGGTATACTGAGCTTTGGGTAACGGGAGGACGCTAGTTTGTGTCCTCCCGTTACCCTTTGGAGAACTATGGGGAAAAGCCTTAACCCCATAGTTCTTTTAAATAACTATATTCTTCCTACATCAAGGCAATTGCTGCAATAGTGGCAAATAATACTTTATGTAGTACATCAAGTCACATTGCTTCATTAGTGGTGAAGAACGTTCTTAGTTACTATGGTCTTAAAGGCTTAAAGTGCCAACAGCGTCAGCCCAAATATGATATTTTCTTTGTATTGGGTTGTGATAGCCCAGAGGAGAAAAATAGCTACAGGTATTAGGTGTGCAGCATTGCCAAAGATCATTTACCTGCGTCTGTGACCAAGATGCCTACGGGGGCACTTTTTAAAAGCAGATGGTATGCCTTCCTGGTACAGACAGGAACTCTACCTATAGATGGGACCGTAAGCTACTACTACACTCCAGCTGGATAAAATACTAGAGATGTGTGGATTTTTCCAATGCATACTTCCTTTATTCCTAACACAGTTATTGGATGCAAACTGGCCTTCGTATCAGTTTGGCCATTGATGGATTGATAATACTATACTAAAGCATTTGGCAGGCGTTTATTGGATACTGGTACCGACTGGTAGGTGGAATGAAGTGTGTAGGAGTGAATGGTTGTGGTTGGATGACAATTTTGTCATTTGTTTTAACCTCTTGCCGTCCGCCCGTTGTAAAAAACCGGATGGACGGCACTGCAGCATTGGCGGGTTGCCGTCTCCAGACGACATTTTTTTTCTGCTCGCGCGCGCCCCCTAGCGGGCACGCACGGGCAGAAAAGACCCGACCATTGCACACACCCGTTACCGGGTGTTTCACATATAGGCGATCAGTGGCTCCATAGCCCGCCGATCGTCTCCCCCCCCCCTTACCCCTCACCTTGAATCCCGGGATCCGCTGCCCCATCTTGAATCCCGGGACCGGCTCAGAGGGCGTCAAAAGGAGGAGGACGGGATTTTTTTTTTTTTCATTTCGGTAATTTTTCCTTAATATAGTAAAAAAATAAAAACCCCAGTGGTGAATAAATACCACCAAAAGAAAGCTCTATCTGTCCCCAAAAAAGGGTATAAAATTCATTTCAGTACAGCGTTGCATGACGGAATAAATGTCAGTCAAAGTAACGCAGCGCTGAATACTGAAAAATGGCCTGGATGGGAAGGGTGTTTAACACCGCGGATGTCAACTGGTTAATACCACAACAGAGTGTATTAAAGGGTTTTCTCAGGTGAATTTGTTTTCAGTTAATTGTGCTACTAAAGGATTGTATTGATTTAATCAGCTGCTCTGATAGCCTTTTTTTATTTTTCAATTTTTTTGTTCACAACATTGGATTCTGCCTGCACAATGCGTGTCAACACTCCTCCTTTTTTTCACCAGGGGTGACAACACACAGCACAACTGGGAGTTGTCACTCCATAACAGGAAGTGCTTAAAGCACAACTTTGGAAATACCATTAACTTTTTAACGCTTATATTATATTTTAGTGAATGTGTTTAGATCTACTTAATTATTATAATTAATAATCTTAATTATTAATTAATTCGGAAATATATAAATTATTGATGGGTTATCTGTAAATTCTGCCGTCTGCTGCTGTAATAGTGTTCAGTTTGGGACATTATAATATTTCATGTGCTTTGTGTATACCAGTAAACCCCCACATTTGCATTGCTAATATTGCAGAACTCTGTCATACTTTACTAATTAAGATTTTAGTGCTCAGCTGACATATTTATGTATTAGAACTAATATGGAAAAAGCAAAGGAGAAACACAAGAGCTACAAATCAATTATTTTTAATGAGTTCTGTATCCTGCTGTGAGTATTCATCAATGATGTTTTATTATTCTGTTGTCTAATACCAGTATTGAGCAGTAATGTTATATCCCTTTTGCATAGATTGATTTTGTGGCTCATGATGACATCCCTTATTCCTCAGCTGGCTCTGATGATGTATACAAGCACATAAAGGAGGCAGGTAAATAGCTTTTTTGTGTAGTGCGTTTGTTCTGTGACCTGCTTTAAGTCCAGATTGAAGCATATTCTACATGGTGACGGGTTACCTTAAAATGTGTTGTTTGCCTCCGGGTTTGTATTGCAGCACTCCCAACCTTTTAAAACAAAAAGTCAAGTTTAGGCTACTGTGAGAGAACCAAGAAACCAGACAGAAACTTAAAGTGCAGGTTAAAAATAAAAGGAGTTTATTGAAAATAACAAACAAAATGGCAAATAACAATGGAGAAAGTCCAGGATGTCGTCGGTGCCAAGCCAGAGGCCAGATACCAAAGCGGGTAGTAAGCTGAACCAGGTCAGGGAACACTGAGAGCAGGATGAATGGAAACAATAGCCGGAGTTAGGAACCAGGAGATCAGTCAGCCAGAGCCAGGGTCATACACTGAGAACAGGAACAACAGCAGAGCACTTGGTAGATCTGGACACATGCAAGGGTGGAGACTGAATGGACAAGCTGATGGTTAAATAATAAACTGGTGTTGCATAATCACTCTGAGATAGGAAGTTGTCAGAGGTTTGTTAGTAGTTGCAGAATGATGATGTTTACGGGTTTGGTCATAAGAGTGCACCAAAGAGAAACGAATGTGTCAGACACATTGCAACAGAAGACAGGCTGCAGCTCAACAGGACAAGGAATGTTAAAAAAAGCGTTTATATGCGTCTATAATGGTCTAATGAGTTCCAATGGATCTATTTACACCTTGCGTTTAGATGCTTTTATCTGCAGTCAGTTTAGCTGCGTTTAGAAAAAAAAAAGAAGTCGGGTACCTCCTAGGGTTTGATTTGAACTTCTAAATGCACCAAACGCATGTAAACGCAAGACACATGTATTTGCTGAAATCTCAATGGTTCACTTCAATGGACTGTTTCAATGGACAAAGGGGAGATGAATCCAACACATATGCATGTAAACGTGTGTCATTTTAAGCATCTAGAAGCATAAACAAAGCATCTAGCCTGACAGATTTTTTTAGACAGATCTCTGCATAAAAATGCAAGTGGCAAGTGTGATTGAAGCCTAAGTCAGTCCCCAAAACAGCTATACTTTGGCTGAGATTTCAAAATCCTAAGATTTCAGGAGCTGAAAATTGAGACTATTGGGAAGTTCGCATAATGCAGTCCATTGTGCTTAATCATCATCAAAAATGTATTTAAAGGCTTTTTTTGCATAAAATGGGAAGGGTTTAGACCAGCCGCCTTAACTTTTATACCCTAGAGGAACCCTTGAAATAATTTTCAGGTATAGGGGAACCTCAGCTAACAATTAATGTAAAGGGGTTAGTGAGAAGAAGGCCTCACTGCATTGGTGGTCAGGGAAGAACAGTGGTGGTCAGAATGCCATCCTTACAGACATTTGAAAAGATCATTGCTGTCATGCTGCTGGCACTGCCAAGTGGTTTTGGCCCTGGAACTATGCAGCCACAATCAGATGGACGGACAATCCGCCTTACCTCTGAGGGAACCCTAGAGTTTTTATAGAATCCTGGTTAAAAATGGCTGGGTAAACCCTCTGTCAGGTTTTAATTGTTGCTTGTGAGCTTGCTGGGGGGATTCTCCATTGTGTCTGAGACAGAAATGTGAGGGTAAATCCAAACATTTCATCAGATTTGTCACTGGAGCAAAAGTTGAGGGGAAACTTTTCAGTGGGGGCAAATGTTCAGATGATAACTGTAAAACATGGGAATTCCCCTCACTTTGGTGAGATTTACAATCACTTCCTATTGCACCTCCCAGACAGGAAGTAAAGGAAAATCTCAGCAGTGGGACACCACAAAAAAACAACATAATAGGTGTCTGAACCCTTCCCTATTCTAACCAAAACAAGAAAAAAATGTTTTAGCTGTTAATACACTTTAAATATCTGGTTATAGATGAGAAATATTTTGCCCCAAGATTCTGGCTCCACCTCCAGGCTCCATTTACATATAGCTTTTGCCTTTCCAATGCAGTTTTCCGTGTGGAAGACTGTGTGGCACGCAAACGCTAGAATCTTTCATCTGCACGGATTCCCCTCTTTTGCGGCTATTACTATAGACACGAACTTGCGGAATCTGTCAAAAAAATCACGCTTGGACTATTTTGCGGGCTGCACAGTTTCATACTACATATGGCCACCGCAAAAGTCTGAACAATACACATTACAGTGCATTGTTTTTTATGTTTAGAGCGGCTCCATGCGTATTCGGCCATACAAGCGCTCCTGTGTGTAAGCTAGGTTCACACCTAGGCGACCCCTAGTCAGGAGTCGCCAAGGTGTGAACCGATCTCGCTGTGGGTGTCGGCCGGATCACGCGGTTTCCTGCCGCGATTCCGCCCGTGCTTCCTGAACACTAAAACAGCCGCGCATTGTGTATCGCAAAAAAAAAAGGTTTGTACCTTTTTTCTGTGATTGAAATCAATGGGGCCGTGCATGTGAACCTAGCCTGAATGGAGCCCCATGCTGTAGCTATTTGTACCCATCTGTTTCTGAAAATCTGTGTCCTCATAGTAGCTAATTACATCTACTGTAAAAATTTTAACATAACTTGTGGCTATAGGACAATGTAGACAGTTTGTATTTTATATATTTCACCTCTTATAGACCTCAGTAACTTTTTTACAGCTGCTCAAAACTGTAACCTAAGATTTAAAATTAGGAAAAGAAGAATATGTAAACGGTGTATAAATAGAAAACTTTAAATTGACAGTAAACGTACATGGTATCAGATTCTATCCACTTGGTATTTCTTCAAATTTGAAGGAGTTGGGATGGAATTTTTCTCAAATGATGGAAATTCTAACAGTGAATGGGATTTTCCTTTAAGAAACTCCATTAATTCCAAAAGGGAATGTTAAAATAAAACAACATTTGAAACGACACTCGTCAAGTCTCTGATGGCATTATCAAATGTTCTGACAAGATTTTTCGTATGAACGTTCGTACGAAAATCTAACAGTATATGGCCACCTTAAAGAGGAACTTTACACATATGTTCAGAATAACAACAAAGGCACCTTTAGAAAAGTTTAGTAATGACAATCTACAAACACATACTTCTAGATAATTGCAGGTTTTTTATTCTGTGCATAACTTATTTCCTCCTCAGTCTTCTCATAGTGGCCATTTTTACTAAGGGCAGAATAATATATCTCCCTTTACTTCCTGGATCTCTGGCACATGTGAATAGGATATGTGACCATGCACATCACCTCAGGGGGAGGAAAATGCCTTTCCCTGAGATCTCATAAGTTTACAGATGAGATTTCCCAGCAATGCTCTGCTGATGTAACCTTCCCAGGATGCAACACTTGGGCATGTTTACATCATATGTGGCAAAGTGGACCAGGAAGTAAAAAAGAAGAAATTGTTAGTAAAATACAACTATGTTTAACTAATAAATTGTAAGATGATTTGCTATCGGCATGCAGAGCTGCATGCTGAGGTGATTTTTAGTCAAATGGGGTAAAGGTCCACTTTTAACTGCACCTTAGTCCTCCTCTCCCAGACACCTTCCCAGTCTTATGTTCACCTGCCCCCATCCACTCTCATTCATTCATATAGGACAGGTGTATGCAAACTCCGGTCCTCCAGCTGTGGTGAAACTACAAATGCCATCATGGCTCTGCTTCTGGGAGTAATGCCTGTGGCTGTCGCAGTCTTGCAATACCTAATGAGTTTTGTAGTTACACCATACCTGGAGGGTATGCCAGAGTTTGCCTGCACCTGCTATAGGAAGTTAGACGGGAGTATGATCTTGTACGTGTACGTTTTTAAAGAAATGAATGCGAGTGTAGAAAACACTAGTTGGGCTGGGAAGATTTTGACAAGTGGTTGTGTAATCCAGTTAGCAATATCTTGCTAGATCGGGGACAGGGGAGTATCAGGCTGGGAAAGTGTAAGTGAAACTGCAACAAATATCCAGTTACAACTTTAGGCTTATTGATGAATTTTATGTGTTTCCTTTCCTTCTCGTTTAACGTATCTACAGCACACATTTTATAAAATCATTGTAATATCACTAAAGCCAATGTGTTCTCCAGTGGGGTAACTTATCTTGTTTTTAGACAAGCCATGTCATGGAAAAAGCTGTGATACCGGCTATCTTTCTTCTTTGTGACAGGCATGTTTGTACCAACACAGAGGACAGAAGGTATTTCAACGTCAGACATAATCACTAGAATCGTCCGTGATTATGATGTTTATGCCAGACGCAACCTCCAGAGAGGATACACTGCAAAAGAGCTAAATGTTAGTTTCATAAATGTAAGTATAAAAACAGCTGGCATCATGGGTTACATTAGTACTTTTTCCCTATCCTTAAACACTGTATTTATGACAGATCTCCCATTTTATTGGCCAGAACTATACAATAGGCACTGCATACTGTTGAATACAAAATCAGATATAAATCCTCATTGTCATTTGAAATCCTAAATTGCTACAACAGTTTGATGGATTATAGGGAGATTAGCACTATAATCCCCTCTTAAGGCTTATGTGTTCCATATTTAATACCAATATTCATTTCTTATTTCCTGTAATAATGTTTCTGTGTTAAAAATCTTTCGGTGAGTGCTGGACTTAAAGTGTAATTCCAGCCAAAAAGGTGAATACCCTGTTCACCTGCCAAAATAATTCTGTTCAGCAGCTCTTGAGAGCAGAGTAACCCTGTAACACTGAAAAGCCAACAGGACGACATTGTGATTTCCAGTTTCAGCTTTGCAGCTTCCAGTGTCACCAGCCTGCTCACTGGAATATGAATAAACATCATCGCAGGAAGGAGATCCATCCTATGCTGTCTACCTTCTACAATCTGTCTAAACATGTCCTCCTTAAAGCTAATTGTGAAATACAATAGAGCCTCATTGGTTTACACTGCATAACCTCCTACTGTCACTTTAATATCTGCAGTGTGGGGGGTTGTGTGTAGGGAACATAAAGATATGTATCAGATAGTCAAATAGCATTATTTTTAAACAGCAGAACTTCGCATAAATACAAAAAGATACCTATTAAGCCAGTATGGTATGATTGTAGGAATGTTATGGGCAATAAAGCCATCAAATTAGCTAACTGTGTTGGCTACAGTTTTGTTGGAGGAGATTCCAATGTAATATTACATCAAACTCTATCCTTTATACATTTGTTCAGACAACACCAGGTAAGCCATAAAAATGTCAAATTATTAACTGGAAGTAAACCTATTGGTATGTAGAGTGAAAGTCACTCATTGTCATAAGATTACACCCACTATTCATATGTGTTCGAAATGTATATGAAAAGAAGTGTGGCGTGCAGAAATAAACTGTGCAATCTAAGTGTCTGAGAATATCATTACTGACAGCTAGAGCTAATCATATACCCGCTTCAATCACTCAAGTCCCATAATCACATTGAACAGCCTGGATAGCAGAATCTTCACTGCCGGCAGCCAGTGGCACCCGTGGCTATGTAAATACCCAGATAGTGACTGCATCGTTTGAATGTAGTCTCTGTTCAGCTGACAATTTTTCACCTAGCTTGATTTTTTTCTGACATTTGTCGGGGCAGGGGGTGCTGACGGCACCAACCACGGCTCAAATTGTGGGCAAATTACCAATGATCAGCCGAAATTTAAGTCAGTTTAAGACTTCTCATTGGCTAGTGGTGAAGTAAGGGTATGGGAAAGGGCAGAAAATGAAAATATAGAACCCATTTCATACGAAATGTACAATACCACATTATGTTTAAATTTTAATCTTGGAAGCACTATTGAATAGGTTAATTGTGTGAAGCACTAGAACCCAGATTAGTAATATGTGCTGTAGATAAAGTGGAATGTCAAGCAGAAGTTAATGTGTGGTTTTTTATAGATTTTGGGAAGGTTTAAAACTTTTGTCAAGTATTACTGCTGTCTGCATCTCCATGTGGGAGATTTTGGAATACTTCCTGTACCAAAGGCTCAACAGGAAGTGAGAAGATGGCCCTGTAGAGTGATTTGCCATTTTACAGCTTTAAGGGCCAATTCACACTAGCCACTGCGCAAAACGCACATTGGCTGGTGTGCGGTGCCTGACACGGTGTCGATGTGCCAATCCCGGCACATCGCACTGTGTACTTTTTTTTTAGAGCGTTCTTGAAATGTCACATGTGACATTTCATTCAGTTCTAAGGGCACAGCAGGGTGTGAGGCAGTTGTTCCACATTGTATCGGGCTGTGCTGAAAAAAAGTAAGGCATGCCGTACTTTTTTCAGCGCACACCACATTGTTCTCACTGCAACGTGGTGGTGTGAAAGGTGTCCATCCATGACAAGTCAATTTGCCTTGTCTTGTGTTGGGGCTGTGCTGGAAACCAAGGCCAGCGCAGCCCCTATGCATGTGCTGTGAATGGACCCTTAATCTAATTTTTTTTATATTGCTGCTTATGGGCCTTAACTGTGCCCAGGATCTGTGTGAGGCAGCTGCCTGAATAACCGAACAGTGACTGCGTTAGATAGGTTGCAATCATTGTACGACTGACAATTTTGCACCCAGGCTCCTTCGATGTTAAAAAAAAATTTTGTCAAGCCAGGTGGTGGCTTGACAACATTTTTATTCCTTATTGTAATGGTGCAATAAGAAATAAAAATTAGGAAAACTGTAGTACACTTAAAAGTGGGAAGTCTGGAGTCTGCAATAAAATACAAAGAAACGAATATAAAATACACAGAACATGCATATTCTTCCTCCCTGGCTTCTCCTCAGCTGTGTTATATGACACGTCGGAGCTGAGGAGGTCCCCAGGAGATCTTCCCTCAGCTGTGAGCTGCCTGTAATCCCAGTATCAGCCAGTGGTCGGCATTGGTAACTTAGTGCGGTATTTAGAGGTTGAAGTCACACACGCAGGTTGCATGCCGGCAATGACACTAAATTCAGCAATAACCTGGTGACTCAATATAAATTCCAGTATTGCAGAGTAATTTCTGGAAAGTTCCCAGCTATGTTTATCAGGAATATAGTCATGTAGATTTGGATTGTGTATGACTGGTCCATTTTTATATTTGCTTTATGGTAGGAAAAAAAATACAGTTTCCAAAACCAAGTGGACAAAATGAAAGAAAAGGTGAAAACTGTGGAAGAACGATCGAAAGAATTTGTCTACAAGGTGGAAGAGAGGAGTCATGATCTAATCCAAAAGTGGGAAGAAAAGTCTAGGGAGTTCATCGGGAATTTTTTGGAGTTATTTGGTCCTGATGGTGCCTGGGTACGTTTATGCCTCATGTTAATTCGATTGCCCAGATATGTGTATTGCTCATTATTATCTTTAATACTTTTTATAAATCAGGGGTCAGCAACCTAAGTAAGACATGCGTACCAGGTGTCAGTGGTACATAAAAGAACAATAGTCACACTTCTACAAAATTATTTGATATTCAAACATGACTGTAGTACGGTTTGTTATATATTATTTAGTCTGTAGTGTAGCAAGTCTACCAATTTCCTATGTTTGAAAGGTGGCCTTTGCATTAATGTGGACCTTTACCCCCTTTAACTAAAAATCACATCAATGTACAGCTCTGCATGCTGATATCAAGTCATTTTTATTAAACAAACTTCCTGGTGTTAATAGGCATTAGTGATGTAGCTCATGCCTAATAGATGCATCCTTGGAAGAATTACGTCAGCAGTGCATTGCTACGAAATCTCACCTGTAAACTGCAAAATCTCACGAGATCTCGGAAAGGCATTTTTCCCCCCAAGACTAAGATGATGTGCATGTTCATGTTCATGTTCATGTTCTAGGGAAATGGATTCATCTGTCCTTATTAAAAATGGCCAACATGAAAAAAAATGGGGAGGAAAAGAAAAATAAGGTATGCAAAGAATAAAAAGCCAGCAATTATATATAGGTTTCTGTTTGTAGATTATCATTACTAAACATTTCTAAAGGTGTATTTATTGTCATTTTAAAGAAATGGGTAAAGTTCCTCTGTAAAGCGGAAGTAAACTGCTTTTGTAATTTTTTCGTTTTTGCCTTAAAGTGACATTAAACCCTCAGATTTTTTAACATAAAACAATACTGTAATGTGTGCCTTTCTGTAATCCATGGTTGTTTCCCTTCTCTTTGCTGCTCTTCCTTTTAAATCTGTATCTGTTCTCATGCTGGGCAGAACTTCTGTTTTACATCAGACTGCCTTGTCTCTGAAATGGATACATGGTGTCTGTGTGTAGGTTTGCAACCTGAGCCAGCACTACAGGAAGAGGCACTCAGCTGCAAAGGGAAGTTCTCCCCTAGCATAAGAAGACATGAGGATTTAAAAGGAAGAGCAGCAAAGAGAAGGGAAACAACCATGGATTACAGTAAGGCACACATTACAGTATTGGTTTATGTTAAAAAATCTGAGGGTTTAATGTCACTTTAAGTATGGCCCTCCGGTTACCTAATGCTTGTAATTTGAAACTTACGGCGTATCAATAAAGCAGTGAACTTGAGTTTCACTGAACAGAAACTGGTGTTTAATGACTATCATTTAAAAGACATACACCTAGAAGATTTCCCAGCAGTGAATGTTTGGTCAATGTCAGATTCACTGCTTTACAAATATGCCCTGATGTTGAAAAGGTTGCTGACTCCTGTAAATAACCCCACATTTCTGGAGAAGTCGTACAGGCCAGGTCATAAAGAGGCATCATTTCATGTGGGCAGCAGGCCGTCTCTCATTTAACTATCTTATCTCTTTAGGGTAGAGTAGCAGCAAATGAGCAAAGTTAGGGAGGTGAATCAAAATAAATAATTATTTTATATTTCCATACTACATATTGTTCAAATACTGTAAGTAACTAGATGAAAACTACCATGTAAATACAGTATATGACTTTTTCAACTTGCTCATAACTTTTAGTATTTAGCTAAAGACCAATTTTATTTTCTAGGGTCCTCTAGGACTACACATAGTTAGACTGAATGCAGTGGAGTTGCGAATAGGGATACCAAATTCAATAGAAGAGTATGTAGAGATAGAAAATTCACACCAACTAACTTTTTAGGTACCCAAATGTAAAACTGTATACTGTTTAAAATGTTTTTTATTAACAAAATCCACAATATATAAAAACATGAAGTCAATAAAAATGGCTCCCTAAAGCAACACTTGTAGCACTCTAAATGATCCCTTCTACCTCCCATCTGTGTATCATTGTCATAGTTAGAGCCGAGCTGTGATAAAGAAGCTGTCACAGGTCGGCTCTATTGATCGGGAAGTGAGCGAACACATACCGTCACTCGTTCCCTTTCCGATTATCTCCCTGCATAGAGCAGTGACTGTCATTCACTGCTCTCGGCAGAGATTCCCCCACCCCCCCTCCGATCCTCCAGCGCTGAGTGGAGGAACGGACGGGGAGGGGGTGGGCACAGCTGGCCTCTAGATAGGCAGAGTCAGCTGTCACTCACGTAGCTGGATGGAGCCATACAGTATTGTTGGGATCCGTCCCGGCTGCGGCGCTCTCAGTATATTGTGGACTATACTGAGCTATGGGTGACGGGAGGAGGTTAGTATATGTCCTCCCATGACCCTAAAGAGAACTATGGGGAAAAAACACTTACCCCATAGTTTTCTTTTAAGGTAAATATTCCCATATTCTGCAGATCTTATACATCAACAATTGTTACATCGCATTGGCATTTAGTGCCTGCCTTGCTTATTCAGTGCCTTGCCTTCCTTATTCAGAAGAATAATACTCTACACATTTTGCAGATACTTCTGCTTCATCAGGAGCAAAAATTGAGATACTCTGAAAACATAAAGACATATGTGAATATCAATACACTCATCTCTCTATTGTATCTATGCAGGAAGCCATGGTGGCCACTCACGCTGGACTTCACATATGTCTGCCTTTGTTCTCACTTCCATTACATGGTGGATTGATGGGCTCAGACGCACTAGTGCCTGAGCTTGTACCACATAAATACCGGCGTATTTCCCCCCACCAGGGAGTGACAAGGACACTGCATCTCTGGCAAGTTCAATAGGCATTTTCTCTACTTAATGAAAATGTACTTTGCCTGAAAAGTAAAAAAAAACTACAGGCTACCACATCTAAGGGTTGGGCAGCTGCAATATGTTACATTTTTGTTTTGGGGGTTTAGATATGCTTTAATTTCACTACAAAGCCTTTACATACATGATGTTCATGTCCATTGTGGATCCACAAGCCACTGCTCACTTTACATATCTGTTAGAGCTGCTCACTAAATCCAGTTTCCAGATTATGGGTAGTTGCAACTGTTTGTCTCACTTTCATAGTGTCATTGAATTTGGCCCCCCTCACATGTGATGTCCGTTTTGGTTATTTAATTTTCAATAAGGAATTGAAATGTTCTATGGCTTCTACCTCATAAAAACTGTGTCTATTAACATGTTACAAGTACACCACTTAAACATATATTAAAGAAGACAGGAATGCTTCTTTGCAATGCTGTTGGTGGCGACTGACTGGGTTCAGAGGGGCTTATATCTCATAATATAATATATTAACAATTTTTCTCACTGTCTTTACCTGGGAGGGCTACTAATATGCAAATAACCTTACTTTCTAAGCAAGGCAACCAGAATAATTTATATATGCATTCAGTGCCTGCCTTGCTTAAAGTGTAACCAAAGCCAAAAAAATTTTTTTGTGTAGAGTTCGATTTCTTAAGGGACCGTAATATACAGGGGTACGGGTACTCCTAGAATGAGATCCTAATAGGTTGGACTTGATGGACTAATGTCTTTATTCAACCTCAAATACTATGTAACTATGTACAAAATAAACTCTATACAAAAAAAGTAAAAACCTAAAATTAAAGGGCTGTATATTTTCTGACATTACATTGGGGTTATGTTATGGGTCCAGATAAAATGTAAATAATGCTTAGCAGAGTTCATAAAGTAGTTTCAAAGCCATTAGACCATAAAAAAAGAAAAGAGGGTAAGGGGTATAGTTACAAATGCAGTTTGATATTGTTCTGCTGATATGAAATGTTTTGCCAGGGGATTAGTTATTTATAAGACTTTCCCATTCCATGTAGTCAGCCTTTCCAGGTTAATTACTACAAACGCCAGGGCGTTCAAGTTGTCCCCCATAGGGGAATTTCTTTTTTAAGACTTTCTTCAGCTTGAGTTCCATTCCAATTTTATTATAAATCATAAATTACATTAAACATTCATTTTTATACAGAGCAGCTGCTGTGAATACCTGTGGTGTACTTCAATAGCTTCCTGGTATGAAAAAAAAATGAATCTGACATGTTTGTGAACAAGGGTAATAGAGACAATCTTCATAGTCCAGATGTTACCGACTGAGGAGTATATGACTGTGAAATGCTCAGCAGGATTCTGAGGACACCAAACATGATCTGTTTATTGACCAAACCACAATTCAGAAAAGATTGAGGCCACCATCAGTGGGAACCGATTGAGCTGTTTTTAAATAACAATATGCCCCAAAATGCATTTCACTAACAGTGTTTATTTTCTTCCAGAAGCAGATGTTTCAGGAGCGCAGCGGACAAATGCTACAAGCACTCTCACCAAGACAAAGTCCTACCAGTAGTCCCACTCGAGAACGTTCACCATCTCGTTCCCCATCACCACCTTTACCATGGATGCTGAATAAACCCTCCCCTCCTTCATCCCCCAAAGGTGCTGCATCCGCCTCAATCTCCATTAGCAGCATGAGTGAGGGAGATGAAGATGAGAAATAACCTGTTCCAGAAGTTTTAATTCTGAAAATTGGACTTTATTGACACAGAGAACAGCTCTGTTCTGCCTAGCTGGCCTCTGACAAAAAAACGGTTCAGATTATATGAAGAGTCAGACTTTGGGAGCATTTGGGATAGGAAACATCAAAAAATTCTCTGGCACCTAGGTAAAAAAAAAAAAAGATTGACGGAAAGGTTAGAGAGGTTTCTGACCTTGGTATGTATAGATGTATGATACAAAGTGTATTAACAAGTACTAGAATATACAAAGCCAAAATCGATTCCTGCTGAATTGGAGAACAAACTGCAAACTCTGAAAGTGAAATATATAGGAAGCATATACTATAAAGTGTTTTATGGGCATCCGGTTCCTGGTATACTTGAACTTTGTGTATTGGAAGAAACCATGCACAGCAAACCTTGAATAGAATTAGAAAAATTTGCACTTAAGTATACAAAGCACTACCGGGTATTGCTCCTATTATGATGCAGAAATAGCTTTGTTTTGTGTTCGGAACCTAGACGTCCATAGATTGTAATTCGTTTTAATAACTTCTTCAAAATTGCACTGATTGTATAAATCCCTAATACATGAGTGCTAGGGGCTTAACACAGAATTAACTTAGTATACGTTAATGTAGATGTAACACCAATTACTTTTTGCAAGACATGACTTACCCATAATTCCCTTTTATTTGTTGTTAGTACCTAGCTGTCATGATATGACATGATATGACAGTGTAATTGATTACACATCTATTAACCAATTAGGGAGTATTGAATTAAATTCATTGAACAACATGGAACATGTGACAAATGGCAAATAAAGTGGGTATCAAGGGTTATCATATATCTTGCTCATGTGTTCACCACATTGTTCTAGCACAGAACTGCAATAGGCCCTTTTTGCAACTTTGTGGTTTATCCAGTCTGTGTTATTTGTTATGGATGTGGCTTATTCTCATAGGTGTGACTTAATGTTGTCAGCTAAAGTCAAGTGTCTGTAGAGTCACTAACAATGCTCACAATGCTTAAATTTGTATTCACGTTACACACATGAACTTCTTTTGATAGGAGTAGTGTTGGTTACACATATATAAGATTACTGCAACCCCCGGCCCTCCCTCCCAGTCCTCCGATCCAAAGAAATATCACTGCCTAGATCGCCTAGCCAGTTGTCAAAAATCTGACCACATCTGCAATTCCATCCATTCCTATGGTCTCCCAAGTACTAGAAAATAAATAGGATGCATGCATGGGCCTGGCCAAGAAGATTTATGACAAGTGACTGCGTGATCTAGGAAGTGATATCTCGCTGGATCAGTGGGTATGAGGCTGGGAGAGGGTGCTGTAGGGCTCTACGTTTAACTACACCAAAGATGCAGTTGAACTTTAACAGCCGATACCTAGGTTATACTGGTGTTCATAATCAATTATTCCAGGATAACTGAACATTATATATTAACATTTATTTTCAAACTCATTTACATAGAGTAGACACTTTTTCCCCCACAGAGACGTGGGGAGAACATATAAACTTCATTCAGATAGTGTCCATGGTAGGAAACCAACCCTGAACTCAAGAACTGCATATACATGAGTACTTACCGCAATACATAATTGTAACAATGTAACACTGATTTAAACCAATCATTATGCATTTCTCCAAACATAAAAAATATATACATTGTCCCGGCCAGTATATAATTTTCAGAGGATCTCCACAAATTAATAAAAGCACTTAGCACTGCTTCTGTGCCAAAGATATCCATTGTGTTCTATGATCATCCCTGGCATGGGACCTTTCTAGGACTTCCCATAACAACCAGTCCACCCTGATACATCCGCTTTGGCTCTAAGGTTCATACAACCCTTGACTTCTCACCAGTATAAAAGCCCAAGGGAACTCAATGCTACATAAGGTTAAAGGGAATGATCAACTGGACATGATGTTTTTGTTCGCCATATATTGTTTAGTGCATATTTGATTAACTCTCTGTAATTAGAAATGATCTTTACCAACTTATTTTTGCAGTACATAATACAAATGGTTGCACGTATTGCTTCAGTTTCGGGATACGGCCCTATATTTAAGTCCTGTATTGTTTTGATATTGGAAAATCAGCTAGACATTGTGCTAAGCTTTTCATCTGTTTCTATATAGAAATAAACAAGGGCCCAATAAATCACTGTGCCCAAAGGTAAGCAATATAGTCAGTGCTGTGGTGAGGAGCAGAACCAAGAATAACAGTGATCTCACTGGGGGGGGCACAGCCAGCAAGACACTTAAAGTTCTGTGTCTGGGCCAGGGAGGTTAGAGGGGACAACAGCAAGCTACATATTTAAAAACATGATAACGTTTCCCACTTTTGTTAAGCTAACTTTAAAAAGTGTTGTAATCCAGCAAAACAACTGTAGAAGGAGGGAATTGTTAAGAGGATTTACAAGACTCTCTATAGCTCAGGCAACATACACCACCCCCCTATTTTGCTGTTATCTTCTACAATTGAATAGATAGGAAATAAGTTGGACAGCATGTTGCATCCAAAAGTGCAAACTTGTTTTAGTTTTTGAACCATGTGATGAAAGCGTAGCACCTGTGTAGTAGGGTATTATCAGTCACATGTGCCTAGGGCGGCATGATGTCCAAATAAATCCCTGCCTAACGGAGTGCACAAAATGCAGACAAAAGTGTTAAAGTCTTGTTTTCTTTGGGTACACAATTCTCTGTGCATTTAACCAAAAACATAAGATGTCATGGAGAAAAATGTGTAACAATTAAGAGAAGATGAGAAGACTAGATGAAGATGGAAACTGCATTGTTTAAATGGAGCACTTAGCAATGTTTTTGCCTGCCATTTCTCTGGACTTTTTATTTCTAAATGCTTTCATTTATTTATTTATATTCATTTGTTGACAGCCATAATTGAATCTTTCCTTGCTCGCATAATGGGTAACCTTTGAACTAAAACCCATGACTCGATCCCTACCCCCCGCCTCCTCATTATCATCATCCTCATTACAGATCTCAGATTCAGACATCCCACAGTTCTCACAGGGGTGGCCAGTGTTTACGGCTCATGATGTTCCTTTCTCTGAAGGAAGTATGGGCTAAGCTTAAAGGAGAACTATGAGGTGAGTGCTTTTCACTCACCTCATAGTTCTAGCCGACCTGTGACAATGAGACTGTCACCGGTCGGCTCAGTAGATCGGGAGGTGAGCGAACATATACCGACGTTCGCTCACCTCTCGATCCTGTCACGGCTCTCTGCCGTGACAGGGGAGGGGCTGGATTCCCCCCTCCCCGCTCCGATCCGCCAGCGCTGACTGGAGGAACGGACGGGGGAGGGGGCGGGTACAGCTGGCTCTGCCTCTAGATAGGCAGAGCCAGCTGTCACTCACACAGCTGGGCGGATCTTAACATCGATGTCTGGATCCGCTCCGGCGTCTCAGTATACCGCGAGCTGTAGCTCGCGGTATACTGAGCTTAGGGTAACGGGAGGACGCTAGTTTGTGTCCTCCTGTTACCCTAAAGAGAACTATGGGGAAGAGCCCTGACCCCATAGTTCTCCTTTAAAAAGACACTGTCACTAATGTTAATAATTGCATGTAAAAGCCAGAAAAACAAAGTATTTTAAAATCTTTTGTGTGGTGTTTTCTCTTTCCATACATTATTTTTAAAGATTTGGCATGTTCCTTTAAACTTTGCTTTGACTACTACAGGAAGAGTCAGTTTCTGGGGGAAGGCTTGAAACTCCAGCAGCTTTTTATTTCTGTGCCCCCATTAGAGATTTCCCTTCATTTCCTGTCCTGAGGAATCTCCCCAACAGGGCCATAGTTTTCAGTCCTTCCCCACTGTATCTGGCAATATAAATGGTATTGATCAAAGTTACACTTCAATCTTTATGGTCTGCCAGGTGCAAATAAGCCATAACAGAAGAACACAGGAATGCTGCAGGCTTAAATATTTCCTGGGCAGGCTGCAGATGTAAAAAAGCAAGAAAAGATTAGATCTGAGGTCTGAAATCTTAGGGGGATTGTTGATGAGGAAGGCTGGGAAGGGGCTAAAAAGTTGTATTGCAAAAAGTGGCCTAACCCTTTTAGGCTAGGCTGATCGATGAATGGCAGAGGAAGAGGAGTGTCTTCTATCTATGTACTCAAAAAAGAGTTTGTCATGTTGGTAAAGTAGTTATAACAATATTTAAAGTGAAATGGACTTTAGAGTTTTAGTGATAGATGTAAACTTTGGAAGACGGGTGATGGTTCACTTTAAGCCCCTGCTTCACAAATAGATTTGAATAGTTCTGTAAGACTGCATGGTTTTCTATAAACTGTACATAATAAAGATATCAGTTATTAGACTTACCGTCCTATGGTTCTCTGCATTACATCATTTTACCATATTTACCTAAAGTGAACTTTTACTATATAGTGTATGAATGAGTGAGAGGCAAAGTCTATTCAGTTATATATTTGATGAACTCATCTGGAATACTTTGGCCAACATAGCTGCAAATGGCCATGGTCATACAACAGTAGTAATGTGAAGATATCATGTAGAAGATATACCGTAAGTTGGACTTGACATTATGTAATGCACAGCACTGCACATAATTAAAAAAGACAATGAAGGCAATTTATCAAAACTGGAGCAGCTGTGCATGGCAACCAATCAGCCTCCCTCTTTCATTTTCAAATCTTAACTGAACAAACTGAAGAGAGAAGCTGATTGGTTGCCCTGGGCAACTGCTCCAGATTTTGTCTGCTCCAGTTTTGATAAATTTCTCCCTATGTACATAGCACAGTAAAGCCTTCTTAAAACAAGGTATTCACATGTCTCATTCCAGAAGATATCCCAAAAATAAGAGTATTATTCCTCATATGTAAGTGGTGGTCTACAAATCATTCCTTTATGCCCCATCAGACAGGTGCACATCCAGAACTGTTGGGGTATAGAACAAATATAATATTATAGACTATTTATTCGAAACTGCATACATATCCGATGAAATGAGACACGTGAACACCTTCTGTTCTAAGAAGGCTTCACTGTGCTAACAATTAATTCAGTTAGAGAGCTTTACCTGCCGCGCCCAGTTACTGGCAAGGGCATCCCAGGCTGCTAAGAGCTGGGCAGGGAGCTGTGTATGGTCCTTACACATCTCCCCGTCTGGCTCT